GTGAGGTCAATGGCGCAGTGATAAACACGGTTGCCTGCTCATGAACAGCATGTCCGTGGTTCTAGTCCCGGCTGCAGTGGCGATGATATGCACTACTGACGAGCTCTAATGAGAGCGAAACTCGAGTCTAGTGCCTGTTTTTGAGATGAGCCGACTGGAACATATACGGGAACGCGACAGCTGCGATCAATTTTGGGTGATGTTCAACTTTAAACTATAAAAATGCCAGATTCAGAAATGAAGCAACTTTATCAACCGGAAAATAGGGATGAAATATCGGAGAATTATCCACATCGGGTTGTATTGCGAGTGACCTAGAATTCTGTTCTTCTCACAAACCTTTCTGTCTGTGGACTGATACATTAGAGGAAATGACAGCTAATCAGGTTTAATAGCGTCCGTCTGATTGTTGATTGACTGACTGTTCTGGACAGTGGGAACAACTTGTCAAGCTAAACAATGAAATTTGCAAGAAAACTGTCTAGCTCTTGCATTCAACTGAGTTATTTCCAAATTGTGTGTGCGTCGTCTTTATTCATCTAAGTTCAGGCAGAACTTTAATTCAACAACAGGCAATTATTTTTGAGCTGAGTTTTCCCTTTTTGTGTGTCAAGGGAGCAACAACTACTTTTGTGATGTAGTCAGTTGTGTACACAAGAATCGATGGTAGAAGAATTTTCTCGATTCTCTCAATGACAGTTGAAACTCTTGATAACCAACGTGTGACACAATAAAATTATATGAGTTATTTGATCTAGAAAACAATGAAACATGTTATCCACTGAACAAAAAGAGTTACTGAGTTTTTCAAACAGCTTACCTCTTTACCACGTGTTACGGCATCTCAGTTCACTTCAACAGATAGTTTTGACCCAAGTGCTACAAGCAGTAACCAACGCACAATCCGATATTGATGAACAAGTTTATTTTTAAAAAACTAGGAATTCCTTTGTAGTAATATAATTACAGTTTACATGAGGCATGAAGCACACTGATTTCCCGTTGTAAAACTTACCAGAAAAGTTTGACCAAATATTTAACAAAGGTCAGCAAGTCGACAACTGAGGGATGGTCACATATTCTCTGTGTTGTGTTACATCATTTTGACAGTGTTGTAAGTCCATCATATTCGCCCTCATCAGTGAAGCCAAACTGGACATTTTATTAAACCTGTTACGTATTTACTGTCATGTTCTGGTCCATAATCTACTTATTATTTGGATGATATTACAAGGGTCAGCGGTCGAAATAAAATAACCATCTGTCTATTTTGATAGGTAGTATATAAATGTCATTGCCTGAAACAATGTTTATAGACTCGATGATTACTATCAACACCACTAAAACCAACACGTCAACAGTTGAGCTCATGGAAAAAAAACATTAGTTCATGACTAAAAAGGTGATTTGACAAAAACTGTGCCCAGATTCGAGTGTGCCATATCAAGACGCGTACATCAAAGGAGATTAGAATAGCATCAACAAAACAGCTTCATTAACGAAGTCACTGCTTGAGTTAATTAACTGTGTCGGCTTCAAGACATCCTAATCACACGACAGTGAGCTGGTTGGCTACCATCTCTAGTGACGTCTTCAATTATCCGGTCTGTCAGTCATGAAATTCTCAGCCACAGAGACAAATGAATAATTTGCATCCTAGGCACACAACTCTCCCATCGAATGTGAACATAAATGTTACCACTTCGAACCTCAATCCGTCACATAGAAGAACCAAGTACAGACAGAATGTTGGTTTGACGGCTGGTAATTGTATACATTGAAAAACAGTGTCTCCAGAATATATATCGGAAACGTCGCGGTATCGAAGCAGGCGTTAACTTCTGGAGTACGATAAATAACACGGTAGAAAAAACCTTCGATAATCGTGAACATTTCTGGTAACTGCCGTGTTGCTTCCAGGCACAAACCCTCCAAACAGCAGAGCCCTGTGCTATGACGTTAAATATACGGCTAATTAACATGACATTTCTGAGCCTACACAGAGGGTTTGTCTGTTTATGGAACGACAAGCGTAAAAATGGTAATTTTCCTTATGGGCACACGTTATCCCTAACGAAAGATTTTTTAATACAATCATCCAACATTTTTACAGAGAAATGCTAACTGTAACCCTGATGTAAATGTTGGTATGTGTATTTTCTCACTAGTGGATAAGGGAACTGTCTTCCTTAGAGATGGTCCCGAAATCAATGGTTCAGTGTGTGCTTCGGGTTAAAAGATTAAAAGCAGTGGTGAATTTGTCGCACTGTTCTGCAATTTAGCCTGAATGCCATTTTACTTACACTAATTTCTCTTTTTTATCTCCATGAAAGAGATGATGACAACTGATAAACAGAGACAAGCGATTACTTCTTGGTGTCCCTGGCAGAAAATAATCGGATGATCTTTATTAGTGAAATTCATTTCTCTCCAGGATGGTACGTGGACAACGTGAAAATAAAAACTGTCAAAACTTCCATTGTCCAATGTGATAGAAGAGCGAGTTAACCAGCAAAATAACTAACATAGCAGTCATTGTTTTGTTCTGGTATGAATACTTGGTGATAACGTCTCAGAAAAACAGAACGCAACTGATAACAATCTAGCAGTTGTCTGGTCTAGATATTGGTTGATCCTCTCGAATTTCCCATCCGTTTGTCAACTGTTGTTCATCAAATTCAAAGAGGTAAAATTGACCAGTTTGTGTTGTAACAAGTTGTTTTTGGTGGCTTTTAAAGAAAAATTATCACAAAAATAAACAATTCAATACATTTGTCAACAGATCTGAAAACAAGCTGGTCTCACTTTTTGTCCGGTATTTTTAAAACTTGTTTGCTTTGGGTGTTTTTCTGCTAAAAGACACAAGTTTAATCAAACAGTTTGTAGCACGTTCCACATGGTTCATTTTTGTTTATTTACACCAAAGTTTTGAAAGTGGTTTATTCGGAAAGTTTATCGGAGCATATCCATCTGTGTATTGGTTAGCTACGGTCGTTTGATCACGAGTTCCTGCGAGTTG